GTTGTACGTATATTGCTTTGGTCGCGTTTTTTTTTACGCGACTACGTCATTGTGCCTGTTACGTCTACTCCTAGCCGATGGTAGTAGTACGAAGCTCGCGCCGGCCGCGTTGATTACGCTGCCACGTCATATTGCGTTGCGCAGTTCCTGCCGATTTAAGTTGTACGTATATTGCTTTGGTCGCTGTTTTTGCGCTTGTTCTTCCTGCCGACGGACGTGGTACGTATTTTGCGTCGGTCGCGTTCAGTTACGGGGCCTTGTCGCTCTGCGCCTTGCACTTCCTGGTGACGGCAGTGGTACGTTTTTTGCACCGGTCGCTTTCAGTTACGCGGCCATGTCGTTTTGCGCCCGACGCTCAGAAAGTTGTACGTATCTTCCACCTGACGCACTCATTACGCGGCCACAACATGTGGTGCTTCGCTTTGCTCTCCACACCCCCTGACTACGGAAGTGGCACGTATTTGGCGCCGGTCGTGGTCTTACGCTACCATGTCCTGATGCCCGTCGTTTCAGATGCCTAGCCGCGACTGATGTAGCGCGTAATCCTCAAATTCGCATGTGTTGCTACGTAGCCTTCACGTCCAGTCGTAGGCAGTGGGATTTGCCCCAAGGGCTTTCATCTCGCCTCATTGCGTTGGTATTCGGCTTTGGTCGCGCGTTGGTCCCCCCCGTCTTGATGCCCGTTGCGTCTGAGGTGGTATGTGACGTGCCCGCCGCGGTCAGTTTCGCTGCCTTTCCCGTACGTGTATCGTTTATTTCTAGCGCTCTCGGCTAGCCGGAAGTGGTTTGTATCCTGCGTGGCGACATTCGATTGCCTTTTTACTTAGATTTGTCCTAATTTTTCCGTCGTCACGTTGGTTGCTTGTGCTGTTTAGCCATTGTCTGTCTTGTTGCGCTATCGCCAATCCTAACTTCCTAAATTTGACTTTCAGCTCCGCTAGGTCTCCCTCCAGTCTCTGAGGTTTCACCTCTCAAGCCTGACCACTTTGCGGCCGAACTGCAGCATCATCCGGATCAGCGTTTTGTTGCCTATGTCTTGAGTGGCTTGCGGCACGGTTTTCAATTAGGCTTCAAGGAGCCGTCATTAAGGTCCGTCATTAAGTCATCAGCCGAAGAGCATCCAGATGTAGTTGATCGCTATTTAGAGAACGAAGTAGCCTTAGGAAGAGTGGTAGTCCCTTACCGTGTACCCCCAATTCCTAACCTGCACGTTAGCAGCTTCGGTGTCATGCCCAAGAGCGGACAAACTGGGAAATGGCGGCTCATAGTGGATTTATCTTCGCCGCAAGGTGCCAGTGTCAATGATGGTATCGATCCGGACAGCTTCTCTCTACAATACATCAAAGTGGACGATATAATAGATATGGTTGGTCGATTGGGTCCTGGAGCGCTAATGGCTAAATTTGACGTTCTCGCAGCGTACAGGAATGTTGCYATTCACCCGTCTGATCGTGTCCTGTTAGGGATGAAGTGGCGGGACAACTTCTACATAGACCTTGCGCTTCCATTCGGGGTTCGTTCAGCGCCTTATATTTTCGACTCCATAGCCACGCTTGTAGTATGGATATTACAACACAATTACGGTGTCACAGATCTTCTTCACTATCTGGACGATTTCGTCACGTGCGGACCTCCGGAGTCCATCRCTTGCAAGTGTAACCTCGATAAGGCTTTAAAAGTGTGTTCTCACCTTGGTCTTCCTTTKCACCCAGACAAGTGTGAAGGTCCGACATCGACTCTGGTAGTTCTGGGAATTGAACTTGATTCGATTAATAGAATYGCTCGATTGCCGGAGCACAAGCTGGCCACACTTAAGCTGCTGCTAGAGTCTTGGGTTGACCGCAAGTGGTGCCGCCGAAAAGAGCTCGAGTCCTTAATTGGCCATCTGCACCATGCGGCCAAAGTCGTCTGGCCTGGCCGAACCTTCATACGCCGGATGATTAACCTRTTATCTTGCTTTAGAGACGCACAGCATCCAATTCGTCTCAACGCCGAATTCCAGCTTGACCTCCTATGGTGGCGTCTTTTCCTCGAGTCATGGAATGGTGTYAGCTTTTGRCTATACCCTGGCCTGTCTCAATCTCCTTCWGTGAYCGTGACGTCKGATGCATCCGGCGCGATCGGCTATGGTGCCTTCTGCAATGACGAATGGTTCAACGGAGTTTGGCACGAGTGCCAGAGGCCTCTCTCAATTGCTTACAAAGAGCTCTTTCCCGTGGTCATCGCGAGCCATATTTGGGGGCACCAGTGGAGCCAGCAACATGTCCGGTTCCGTTCCGACAACGAAGCGGTGGTTGCAATTCTGACTTCGCGCACCTCAAAAATTCCTTCTATTATGAAACTTCTCCGTAGTTTGCTTCTAGTTGCTGCTAGATGCAACTTCACCTTTTCTGCTGTGCACGTTCCCGGTGTTGAGAATGGTATTGCTGATGCTCTCTCTCGCTTTAATTGGCAGGTGTTCCTGCAGCTCGCGCCATGGGCCCGAGCGTCTCCTACGTCAATCCCAGGTCAACTGTTGGCGGATCTCTCCCTGTCTCCTTAGAGTCACGTTGCCGCGAATTGCTACTTCAGGGTCTAGCACCGTCGACGCGTCGCTCCTACGCAAGTGGTCAGCGAAGATTCATTCAATTCTGCACGCAACTAGGGAAGATTAATCAAAACGGCTCGCCTTGCCCGGCCGACGAGTGGACGTTATGTCTCKTCGCTACTCACCTCGCAAGTACCATCAACCACGCCTCCATTAAGGTTTATTTGTCCGCGGTTCGTGCTCTTCATGTTGAACTGGGATTTCCCGATCCCCTCTCTGATTGCCTGAGACTGCAAAGGGTTTTGCGGGGTATCAAGCGTACTCATGCTACTAAACCGGCCGATCGTCTTCCAGTTACTGATGACATAATGTATTGTATCCATTGCCACCTTGACTTGACTCTGGCTGATCACATCATGTTCTGGGCGGCTTGCTGTTTAGCCTATTTTGGGTTCCTGCGCTCCGCGGAGTTCACGGTTCCTAATTTAGTCTCTTACGCCTCCGACGTCCATTTAAACGTGAATGACCTTTCAGTAGACTC